CTATTGGATAAGGAAAGGAATAGAAATACCTGGGGTTTTCATAGCAACGTGCTCTTGGGTAAGACATGACTTCGGATCTCCCTCTTATTCATGATCCTTTTCTTGTCGTAGACCTTTCATCTATTTCTGACTTTGTCGTCTTTTCTCAAGGTTTTCTGTCCGTAGTCTTTTCTCTTTGATCCCTCAGCAACTTGCAGTCTCCAATCATCCTTCTCAAGTTCTGGAGCACTGCCTTTTAACTGCCTACCACCCAGACTGACTCTTTTTCTGTCTATTTAGCCCCATTCCCTCTTTTGTTGTTGTTATTTTCATGGAAAAGGTAATCCTACCCAAGGGCAAAAGGGTTAGACAAGAAAGTTCTAGAAGGAATTCAGAACAAAGAAACAGGAAGGAAGGCTAGGATTAATTCAAAATAAAATATACAAAATATACAGTATCATGGCCGACGGCCACAACAGGATCTGTCTAAGAGAGAAGGATCCTTTCATTATTTTGGCAGCCCTGGGACAATGCTGTCAATGATTTAGAGAAGAGGTGAAGTCAATCAGGAAAGAGAGAGAGAGAGAGAATCAAGGGTGAAGTTGAGGATGCAATCAAGTAATGTCTGGCATTGAGAGAATCTGAGAGAGTTATTATTGTTTTCTGTTCCTGATCATCTATTCTGATTGGTGATCAGGAACAGAACACCAATCAGAATAGAAACAGAACACCCTTCTTGTTTTCACTATCTAAGTGGTTGGTTACTTGTTACTAATAAGATCTCAACTTAGATTGCAGGATGAGTTAAAATCAACATTTAATTTGATCCCAATTGAAGATATTTGATCTTGGGACTTATGCTGTCTAGTTTTCTTTTGTCATGTTTCTGAGAAAAGGTTTTTATTTTCATTATTAATTTTTTCCTTTTATGAAGAAAAAGTATATTTTAAATATTAATGAATTTAGTGGGGTTCTGGGACATTTCCTGAGCATCACAGATCTTAATCATCTACAAAAATTTTGTCATATATTTGAGAATTTGACCACCCCTGAATCTATTATTAATAAAAACTTTTCATTTTTTTATATATTGCTGTAACATTTCAATTAAGAAGTCCTTATAAGAACCTACATTACATTTAATAATACAAAATGTGATTGTAATGTTATATGTAGGCTACTTATGGAATGATTAAAATAAAAAATATATTTTCAATGACCTTAAAAATTGTACATATCAAAATTTAATAATGATAAGATTAAATTATAAATGTAAAAAAAATTTCGCATAACCCTGGGGATAGAACCCAAATCCAAAAGCTCTTCATATGACACTAATTAATGCAAGTTTATACATTAGTCTTCTGTTTAGGTATTAATAGTTCTAGTTTGGGGTCTTGATCAAATAATTGCAGATTTCAATTAATAAAACAAATTTATTAAGCGCTCGAATACTGTACAGAGTGCCAGCAGTGTCGTACACGTGGTCAGACAGACTGTCCGGGAGACAAAGACTGAAAACTAAGGGCACGGTAAGTGTTGCCAGGTTGGCCACATACTCCCTCCCCAGTGACAACGCTCAGGAACTTAGAAGGGAAACGTACAGTTCGTCCAGAACGAGTCGTCCGTGGAAAAGGTGCCTGGATTTGCGTGGTCTCATCCGGTAGGTGGTCGTTTCTATCGACAGGTCCATCGTCACTGTTGGAGAATGGCGAAGGGGTGGTTGTAACTTTCAGAAAGAAAGCGGGTTTGAGGCGGTCGATTGAAACAGTTTGCTTTCCTCGAGGTGTATCTAAGTCAAAGTGTTTCTCTGAGCGTCGTAAGACACGGAAAGGGCCATCATAGATTGGTTGTAATGGTTTGCGTGATGCATCATGACGCACGAAGACGTGTGAGGCAGTCATCAACTCAGGGTGTAAAAATATATTTTTAGAAGAGTGGTGGACATCTCTGACTGGACGAATCGACCTCATGTGATCTTTTAACCTGCAGATCAATGTAGGAAAATTATTGGCAGAAGTAGTCTCATGGTCAGCGAGGAGATCAGAAGGCAGTGCAATGGGTTCGCCGTACGTAATCTCTGCTGCTGTAGTGTTATAATTGGGGATGACATAGGATCTTAGCCCCAAGAGGATGGTTGGGAGTTTAGCAACCCAATTATCAGTCAGCTGAGCTCTCAGCGAGGACTTGAGCTGACGATGCCACCGTTCAATTTTTCCGTTTGCGGCTGGGTGGTAAGCTGTTGTCTTAATGTGGTTAATTCCCAGGGCTTTGGTGAGGTCAGCAAAAAGTTGACATTCAAACTGGCGACCCCTGTCAGTGGTTATAACACGTGGTATGCCAAAGCGTGCAATCCATGTAGAAAGGATTACATTGGCTATAGTCTCAGCTGAGATGTCTGCCACCGGTATGGCTTCTGGCCAACGTGAAAATCTGTCTATGATTGTTACTAGATAAGTAAAACCTTGGCAAGATGGCAAGGGACCCACTATATCGACGTTGATGTGAAAAAA